CATAACATAACATAACATAACATAACATAACATAACATAACATAACATAACATAACATAAAACATAACAAACATCTTTTAAAAAATTATTTGCAGAAAAAGAAAACCCCTCAGTTAAATACACGTTTTATACGAATTTAAAAATCTAGTTAGGCACCCGGGTGGCTCAGTCGGGTAAATGTCCAACTCTTGACTTCAGCTCAGGTCATGATCTCATGAGATCATGAGAGCGAGCCCTGCATTATGCTCTTCGCTGACAGCGTGGAGCCTGCTTGGGATTCTTTCTCTCCCTCTCTCTCTGCCCCTCCTCTCCTCGTGTGTGTGCACATGATGCACTCTCTCTCTCTGTCCTTCAAAGTAAATAGACATGAAAACAAATTAAATAAAAAATAAAAATAAAAATCTAGTTAGAGTAGACTCTCTGAGGGGACCATCAGCTGCAGCCTCCCAACCAGGGCCTTCCTCTGTCCAAGACCATATGGCTTTGCCCTCCTCTCTCCCCTTTTTTCAGAGGAGGCAAGGCTGAGCTAAGCTCTGGTAGTGAGTCACCAAGGTTATATAAGGCCCTGTGAACACAGCCTGTCTTCCAGAAGAATGTCCCACTTGCAATACTAACTCAAGTCCTATTAAGGGAATCTTCTGTTTTCTCCCTGTTTTAGCTTTGCTCTGACATATTATCCTAGACTTTCAGAGCTGCACAGGCCCTTAGAGGTAATAATAATAAAATTTATATTTATTAATTTATATGTATTATTAACATTATGGCAAGTATAAGAGCTACCACTTATCAAGCATTTACCACGCTTCAGGCACTTTGTATTTATTATCACATTTAATTCTCGAGTCTTCTTGGTGAAGTAAATATTATCATCCCCATCTGATAGATTTTGAAACCCAGGAAAAGAAAGGGTGACTTATCTAAGGTACATGCTGGCACCAGGGTACAAACTGAGATCTGTAAAGACTCCAAAGTTTTTTTTCTCTCAAACCCCATGAAGTCCAAAACCTTCCATTCTACCAATGGGAAATGAATTCGGGATGGAGGGATGGAGAAGAGGGGGCCACTGGGAGGCATAAACATCTTGTTGGGCTCACAGGACCCATGAGCGGCCAAGTGAACGCTTGCTCCCTCTAGCGCAACAGCAACGCCCATTAGCTTTTCTCTCCCCTCCATGGAAATCAGCATTTATGAATCATCATGTAACTGAGTTTAATAAGAGAAAAGGTGTTTGGTTTTTTGCAAAAAAGAGGAGTTGTGATTTTTGCACTTACCCAACATTGTTGGGGGAATAAAAAAAAAAAAATCACAGTTATAACACGAAGAGTGCCTTACAGTTTATAAAACTCTTTCAAATACTTTCTTTCACGTGATCCTTACTACAGCTCTGTGAAGCAGGAAAATATAATTATTGCACTTCACAGATGAGGAAAATAAGACGCCAAAAGGTTATATATATACTTGCTCAAAGTCTCACAGATCATTCAGTGGTAGAGTCAGAATCAAAACTTGGGCCCTGTTCCTTGGGAGGAAGCTTGTTGGCAATGAGGGCCTGACATTTTCCTAGGAATTTTAGACTCTCGTTTTCAAGTTTAAAAACGTAATTAAGATTTTGATTGGCTGAGGTGATTTTTTTTTTTAGCTGAGATTTTTACACTGCATAAATCAACTTAGTGAGAAATGACATCTTTATAATCTCAAGTCTTCCCATCCTTCATTTTTTATGCCTGAAAGTAGAATCCAGTGTCTTTTTTTCTTTTTTCTTAACAGAGAACCCTTTGCACTTTTGATGAGTTTTTCCTTTACAAACTGCCTTGATAGCTGATTTGAATAATGGTTTCGGTTCTGTTATGCCTTTTTTCAAATTGATTTGTATTATATGGTTTTTATTTCCATTTAGTAACTTGAGACTTGGTTGAACATTCTTGTTGTTTCCAAGAGCTTTTCTTGATCTTGTCAGGGTAGAGCTATCCCACTTGCAAATTAACAAAAAACAAAAACCTGTTCTCCTGACTCCACCACAAATGCTCCTTTTACCACGTGACACTGCATTTTTCCACAGCCCTGCATTTTCCAGATGACTAAATGGCTCCTTTAAGTGCCAATATACTTAGAAATGTAACTGCCTGAGCTGAAATATCTTTCTCAAATGAATTACAACGTGTAGCAAACAGCTGTGGTTTTTTGCCTGCACAACACATCCTTTCCCCTGTCTCTGATAGAAGCTGCCCTTCTCTTTCTTTTGGGGAACTGCCCCTCCCACAGGGATCATGGCAGGACTGTCTATCACTGGATCCAATTCACAAACCCCTAAAGAGTCCCTGGTTCCACCACAGGCTGACCCAACTGACTCTTCCAGGCATTTGTGTCTTGAGAGAAGGGGCACTTGGCCAGAAGGACACTGGAGCGGAATCATGTGGAAGGCAGGCCCTAAGGAGACATCCCTGTGTTTTTTCCTGGAGCTGCCCAGATTTCTACTGTTCCCAAAGCCTGCTTGTTCAAATTCTCCTTTGGTTCCAGGAGCTACCCAATACCCTTCCAATACATTCTCTTTGTTTTCTTAGGTGTGCTTCTGTTACAAATGACACAGATATCAGTGTCCAAAGGTCGGTTGCAGACAATTTTTCCTGTTATGGGTTGAATTGTGTGCTCTGAGCCCTCCCACCAAAAAAAAAAAAAAAAAAAAGATATGTTGAAGTCTAACCCTAGTACCTTCAAAAGTAATCTTATTTGGAGATAGGGTCTCAAAGAGGCAATCAAGTTAAAATAAGGTCATAAGGTAAGCCCTAATCCAATGACTGGTTCCTAAAAAAGAGGAAATTGAGAGAGTGGGGCATCTAGCTTGTGAGCAGGCACCTTCGTTTCATGCGCGACCAAAGAGCAATTTAAAAATGGGTGACGTTAGATTGCCTGGGTGGCTTAGTTGGCTGGGCATCAGACTTTTGCTCAGGTCATGATCTTGGTTCACGAGTTCAAGCCTCACATTGGGCTCTGTGCTGACAGCTCAGAGCCTGAAGCCTGTTTTGGATTCTGTGTCTCCCTCTCTCTCCCTGCCCTTCTCCCACTCGCACTTCATCTCTCTCTCAAAAATAAATAAATATAAAAAAAATTTTTTTTAATTAAAAAAAAATGGGTGACGTTGAGCAGGGCAAGATTTTTGTTCAGAAGTGTGCCCAGCGCCATGACGCGGAAAAGGGAGGCAAGCACAAGACTGGGCCAAATCTCCAGGGTTTATTTGGGTGGAAGGCAGGTCAAACCCCTGGATTTTCTTACATGGATGCCAACCAGACCAAAGGCACCTCCTGGGGAGAGGAGACACTGATGGAGTATTTGGAGAATCCCAAGAAGTACATCCCTGAAACAAAAATGATCTTTGCTGGCATTAAGAAGGCAAGGGAAAGAGCAGACTAGATAGCTTATCTCAAAAAAGCCACTAAGGAGTAATAGTTAGCCTTTGCCTTATTGATTACAGAACAAAAATGTCTCATGACTTGTTTAAATTGGTCTCATACCCAGAATTCAGATCATGAACGCCTGACAGAATATTTCTTTTGGACAGTCCTTATTTGAATAATATTGGCTTGTGGCTACATGCATATAATCAGCTTTTTGAACTTTGACAGTAATCCTGGTTCAGCAAGTGCTATCGTTGTTTTCCCCTTCGAAAAATATGATTGGAATTGATTAGTAACGTTCAGCTTTTGACAGAGATGGTAAATGCCATCTCTAAACTTACAGGAGATTGGTTTTATATTTAGATTTATATGACTGGTTATATTAATATATTTAAATACTGAGGAAATCCCTTCACTGTCTCAGAACAGCAAGACTCGGATGTATTTCAAGTTATGTGTGTTAGCCTGTTAAAGGCAAGATAGCTGGCAATGTCCACTTAACCTTTTTGGTCTTAACTATGCCAATTTAAAAATTTTTTTTCAACTTTTTTAATTTATTTTGGGACAGAGAGAGACAGAGCATGAACGGGGGAGGGGCAGAGAGAGAGGGAGACACAGGATCAGAAACAGGCTCCAGGCTCTGAGCCATCAGCCCAGAGCCCGACGCGGGGCTCGAACTCACAGACCGCGAGATCGTGACCTGGCTGAAGTCGGACGCTTAACCGACTGCGCCACCCAGGCGCCCCTTAACTATGCCAATTTAATTAAAATCTCCTGCATTTCACAGGCAATGCTGTAGGGGAAAAATAATTAATTAATTAATTAAATAAAATCTCCTGCATTTAAAATGTGCCTTTTGCTTAATTAAAGACATTTTAGTGTGGTTTATGTGTAATATTAAATAAAGAATATTTAACATTTCTCAAAAAAAAAAAAAAGAAGAGGAAGTTAGGACACATATAAAAGGAAGACAATGTAGAGACACATAGAGAAAAGGCCATGCCAAGACAGAGAATTGGAGTGATGCACCTATCTACAAAAAAAACAAACAAACAAAAATAACCTCCTGAAAGTGACCAGAAGTTAGGAAAGAGACATGAAAAACAGTTCTTTCCCTGCACCTTCAGAGGGAGCGTGACCCAGTCAACAGGGTGGATTTCAGAGTTCTGGCCTCCAGAATGTGAGACAATATGTTTCTCTTGTTTTAAGCCACTGAGTTTGTGGTACTTTGTTCTGGCAGCCCGTGGAAACTAATACCGACCCTCAAGGAAATATGCACTATTTCGAATGATGTATAGCGGATTGCTAGCTGTTCACCAAAATGCTTCTCCCCTCTTTTGCCTACAAGTAGCCTTGTGGCCAGGCATAAGCCTGTCCCACTAGATCATCTCTGCCAGCTTCCCTTGTGGTCAGGGTGGCCACGTATCTGACTTCTCCCCGGCGGAAAGATAAGTGAGAGTGACGCTGGCCACTCCTGGGTCTGAGTTCTAAGATATCCAGCAAGACTCCTCCACTCTTGTCTCCTTTATTGCCAACTAGAACCCAGATGCGAGGGCTTCATCTGTGCAGAAGAAAAGCCTGTGATGCCACGAAGATTGCGCAGCAAAGGAGGAGAGGTCGCTGTTGCCCTGGATCACTCACCTCAAGGGAAAGCAGGCCACTCTAGTTTGTCTTTTTTTTTTTTTTTTTTTTTTTTAGGCATTTTGTCATTTTTTTAAACTTTTTTTAAAAGTTTATTTTTAGGGGCGCCTGGGTGGCGCAGTCGGTTAAGCGTCCAACTTCAGCCAGGTCACAATCTCGTGGTCCGTGAGTTCGAGCCCCGCGTCGGGCTCTGGGCTGATGGCTCGGAGCCTGGAGCCTGTTTCAGATTCTGTGTCTCCCTCTCTCTCCGTCCCTCCCCCGTTCATGCTCTGTCTCTCTCTGTCCCAAAAATAAATAAAAAACGTTGAAAAAAAAAATTTTTTTAAATAAAAAAATAAAAGTTTATTTTTATTTATTTTGAGAGAGAGATAGAGAGAAAGCAGGGGAAGGGCAGAGACAGAAGGAGACAGACTCCCAAGCAGGTTCCAAGCTGTCAGGGAAGAGAGTGATGTGGGGTTTGAACCCATGAACCGTGAGATCATGACCTGAGCCGAAAGCAAGAGTCAGATGCTTAACCGACTGAGCCACCCAGGTGCCCCTAGATTGTCTTTTACTAAAAACTTAGCTCTACCTCTAACAGGGGCACCTGGGTGGCTCAGTCGGTTGAGTGTCCGACTTCGGCTCAGGTCATGATCTCACGGTTCGTGAGTTCGAGCCCCGCGTCAGGCTCTGGGCTGATGGCTCAGAGCCTGGAGCCTGCATCCAATTCTGTGTCTCCCTCTCTCTCTGCCCCTCCCCCATTCATGCTCTGTCTCTCTCTGTCTCAAAAATAAATAAACATTAAAAAAAAATTAAAAAAAAAAAAAACTTAGCTCTACCTCTAACAGATCCATGGTCATTGAGCTGAGATGCAAGGCACTGGGATCCTGACCATATTCCCATATGGGAACTAGGAGTAGCTCATGGAACAGTGATCACCAAAATAATCTCTTTTGGTCTCTTGGGACTTTTTTTTTTTTTTTTTTTACCATGTGAGTTCACTTCTATAAAATATCCAGATTTGTTTTTTTCTCTTGGGACTTTTTACAAAGCTGAAGTCAAATTCTCAGCAACCTAAAAGGGAGAGGAAAGATAATACAACCAGTAAGGTGACTGCTTCTGAGGGCATTAGGTATCTTCAACTGAGACAATGGGAGGCTCAAGTCTTGAGATGCATGCTACGGGGCACAGACTGAAATTTCAGGGCTTTTCTGTGGCCGAGTGAAGAATCTTCCACTGAAGCCATGGGCTTGAGATGGCTGGACGCCAAATTCTGATTCGAGAAGTTGTTGGATTCAAGAAGTCATTCAGTGTTGGCTGACCACATGACTTTGCCAGGTTTCTTTTATGAAAACATGCAGGTGTCTGGAGGTCTCAGAGGACCCGGACAATCTGACCCGCTAACAGTCTTCTGTCTGCAGTGTTTCCTATGCACTTCCCTCTCCCAAAGAAGGAAGCTAACACTTTCCCTCGTATGTCTGCCTGTTGTTCTGCCGGTAACTAACTCCATCTGGAGCAAGTAAATTGTCCTCACAGAAATACTTTATATTTATTTTTTATTTGGATTTGCTTTTCCTGTGCTTTTTTTTTTTTTTTTTTTTTTTTTTTGCCTCTGCCAGCACCACAGCCCATGGGCTTACAGAAAGCTTTTCACTCTGTCATGGTATGACACATAGCATAGCCTCTTGCTAAGGAATTCACTTCACAGCAAAAGTGGCAATGGCCTAATGCCCGCAGGATTCACTGTGTGCCTAATGGGCTCTGCCCATGATCCAGGAACAGCTGGCCTTATACAGCACTAGGATGGCTCCCAGGATCCACTGGGATCCACTGCTTGCTGTCCTGTGGAAGTGATCCATGCTTTGAGCCAGTATCCCATATGTGAGACTATTTCCCTGTGTCTTTCTCTTTTCAGGACACAGAGGTGGGCAGGTACTGTTCATAGTGTCCCAGTAGCCTTTCCTATCTAATGTAGTAGAATTGATATCTGGGTGCACGGCCACCCAGAGTGATGACATCGGCCAGCCTTTTTGATCACTTTGCCTCCCCACTTTCTAGCTCTCAGTTGAATTGGCCAGAAGTCCGACACTCACTGAAGTTATTGGGTTTGGATTTTAGGGTTGTTTCTCCTCATCCTCATCCTCATCCTCTTTCTTCTTCAAAACAGTGTCCTAAATAACGACAGAAAAAGCTTGTGCACAGTGAAGGAAACAATCAACAAAACTAAAAGACAACCTACTGAATGGGAGAAGATATTTACAAGTGACATATCCAAGGGGTGCCTGGGTGGCTCAGTCAGTTAAGCATCCGACTCTTGGTTTTGGCTCAGATCATGATCTTGCAATTTGTTAGTTAGAGCCTCGCACAGGGCTCTGCACTGGCAGCTCGGAGCCTGCTTGGGATTCTCTGTCCCTCCCTCACTCTCTGTCCCTCTCCTGCTTGCATTCCTTCCCTGCCTCCAAATAAGTGAATGCACTTTTAAAAAAATGGCATATCCAATAAAGGATTAGTATCCAAAATATATAAAGAACTTATATAACTCAACACAAAAAACCAAATACAGTAAAACCTTGGATTGCAAGTAACTTGTTCTGTGATTGTTCTGCAAGACAAGCAAACATTTCTAATAAATTTTAACTTGATAAATGAGCAATGTCATTCAATACAAGTAGTATGTGATGTCAAAGGTCACATGATCACAGCTAAGCCAATATTTTTTCTTCTATCTATCTATCTACCTACCTACCTATATCTTGCTGCAGGATTGTGTGTGATTATCTCCCATACTTGGATGCTCAGTCTCAGACTGCACTGTTTGGCAGAAATCATTGATTTTTCAGAACATTGGAAGGTGCCCACAATTGGTACTAGTGTATTTTTTGCCACTTCAAAGCACCTCTGGACAGTCCTTTGCTTTTCCATAGAAGAGAAAGCTTAGGAATGCTTTGCTTCATTCCAGGTCAGGCTGCCTTTAGATATAGACCCCTTTCTCTGCTGCCTTATTACCAGTTACATTAAATACAGTCTATGACAAGAGTTCATTAATACTGTACTGAAGTCAACATCCATGTGAGTGTATATAATGGCCCCCATGCAGAAAAAGGTTGAAAAGAAAGGTAGTAAGAAGACGGAGATGACTATGGTGGAAGGTAAGAAGGAAGTCATCGAGAAGTATGAACAGGTATGCAAGTGCAAGATTTTAAAAGAAGTCTATGTTGACCATTTGCATAGTATTAAAGAAGAAAGAAGAAAGAAGGGGGCTAGATGCAGCAAAAGGAGTCATGATAATATCAAAGCAATGGCCACATGTTCTGGAAGATGTAAAAAAGTTGCCTGTGTTTTGAATAAATGAGAAGCAACTAGCAGGTAATACTGCGACCGAGAACTTTATCTGAGAGAAGGCAAAGGCCTTGTGCACTGACGTAAGTAAACTGCCAGGTACGTCAACAGAAAAAGAAGAAGACTTCAAGGCAAGCAGAGGATGGTTTGATAACTTTAAGAGAAGAGGGGGCATCCATAAGGTTTGTGGCACAGAGAGGCTGTGAGTTGGGATGCTAAGGCAGCTGAGGCGTTCACTTCTGAGTTCCAGAAGCTTATGGTTTCCGAGTGTTACCTGCCGGAACAAGTTTTTAAACGCAATGATACGGGGCTTTTTTGGAAAGAGATGCCAAAGAGGACCTACATTACAGAAGAAGAGAATGCAATGCCCGGTCACAAGCCCATGAAACACTCCCGTTTGCGCTAATGCAAGCGGGGGTTTCAAAGTCAAGTCCCTGCTCATGTATCATTCTGAGAATCCAGGAGCCTTCGGGAAATGCAAGGTGCAGAAGAGCCAGTTAAATGTTCTGTGGAAGCCCCACAGCAAGGCTTGGGTCACTCGTATCTTATTTGTTGAAA